GATTGACTAGGTAAGAGCTTCGAAATCCCAGCTTATGAGAAAAATCGAATTTTCGAAGTAAAATCAGTGGTCGGTTCTTACAGAGACAGCCTCTTAAGTTTGCCTGTAACCCATTTTAAGTCTTTTTCGGGACATAATTTATCTTGACGCCCAGCGCCAGCCCCAATCCAGACAATTTATGTTTTCTTGTTGTTAAGCCGCAAGCCAGATATCGCACCGAAAAGCTCTAGGTCGAGTAAGGGAGATGTGAAGAACTTTTTAGAGCCGTTTAAAATCATAGTAGTATTGTCAGCATATTGACTAATCTTGATTTCATTTCCACGCACAGTGATCCCTTTTATATCTTTGTTTTCTCGTATGTTGTTGGCTAATATTTCTGCGCAAAGAACGACTCCTGTTTCCTCTGACTCCTCTTTCAGGGGTGAAGTAATTGCTTGCCCATCCGTTATTAAGGAGGCAGCTTTCTATGTTGCGGTAGCACAATTTGATCCAGCTTATTAACGACGATCCGAAATTGAAAGAACCAAGCGTTTTCCATATAAAGGACCATTCAACTGTTATAATGTTTACGCCAATGGATTAGTCCAGTGTTTCAGTAACACAACTTTTATTCATCAGCAACCATGATGCTCCGAACAACAACAACATGTGCTTCGGAAAACTACTTAAAAAATGTGAGTCCCGTATGTGACACCGCTGACCCACACGTATCGACATTACATCTCTCCCCGGGTAGTTACAAGCAATAATTAAAATCATGGTGGGAAAAAACAAAGACAATGCTAACAGCGAAACGATGAAAACAACGGAATCGTGCAATCCGCTGCAGTATGAAAAACGAATGGCTATATAAAATATATTAACTTGGCTACAAAGGTTTTAATAATCAGCAGAGTTTTTTAAGTTATCACATAGTCTTTCGTTCAGCCAGGTTTCTTGATTAGTCTACAACTGCGGGAGGATACGGGTGGTGAAGGGGCAGGTTGATCTGCTGCTGCAAGCGTTGCGTTGTCTTGATTACCATTAGTTTCGCTTAAGTGTGCCTGACTAGATTCCTCTTGGGGTGCTGAGGTTGAGGCGGGTTGACAGACCTCCGGTCCTTCGAAGTCGAGTGGCACTTGCTCATCGGGGGTACTGGTTCGGTGTCAGGTATGGTACTTCCTGGCAGGTTGGGTGGTTTCTTGAAATGGGAGCTATTGCAGGCTACTTCTTTCTGATCAGTTGCTCGCCTGGCGGTGATCATGGAACCTTTGACATCCAGGATTGTGTATGGTACAGGTTCGAAATGCGGACTGGCTTTGTTAAGCCTTCTCTGTTTCACCAGTGTGATATCTTCAGCATTCAGGTCGTGCGGTTTAACCTGTCGTTTCTGGTCAGCGTAGGCTTTCATCTTCGCCTTTGAATCTTTGTCCTTCTGCATGGCTTCCGTGTCAGGAGTGGTTTCCATAGTTGGGAGTTTGATCCTGACAGTTCTGTTCATGCATCACTGATAAGGGCTCTTCCGAGTACTTGGGTGAGTTGTGGCTCTGTAATTGGCTAAAAAGACATATAGCTCTCTCCTCCAATCTTTTCCTTGACGGTGGGCAGTTCTTGCGACCTTGCCAAGGTTTTACATGAACCTTCTACACGACCATTAGCCTCCGGCCACAAGGGTGTGATTTTTCGATGTGTGAAACCTTTATCTTTCGCGAATGACTGAAATGCGTGGCCTTGGAAAGGGGACCCATTGTTGGTTTTCAGGACTTCCGGTATCCCATGAGTGGCAAAGATACGCTCTGATGCTGGGATGGTGTCCTTTGCAGCAACGACGGAAACGATTGCTACCTCAGGGTACTTCCAATATGCATCTAAAACGACCAGAACCGTTTCACCTGTGAGAAACGGGCCAAAGAAGTCTGCCGATGTTTGTAACCATGGTCCTTTCGGTGTGGGAGACATCTTCAGAGGTTCACGTTGGGAGCTGCTGGCACTGGCCCGGCAGGGTATGCAGCTACCGATTTTTCTTTCCACGCTCTTGTCGATTCCTGGAAACCATACCCTTGATTGCAGGAGCTGCTTGGTTTTTACAATTCAGAGGTGCCCTTCATGGCAGATGCTGATGACCAGCTCCTGTAGGCTTTTTGGAATGACCAGTTGGTGACCACGGGTTACAACACCTTCTATATAACTGAGCTCACGAAACACCAGTGCGTACTTCGCCAGGTCTAGATCAGATTTGCAAGCACGATGATTGTCAATCTGAATAAGCGGAATGAGCTTCCTGAGATCCTTGTCCTTCCTCGTTGCTGCTTGAATATTGGCCAGAGAGATGGCATGGGGTGCTGTATCAGTGATAATGCTGTGAACGACCTGCTTTCTTGCTTCGCTTGTTTGGATCTCGCTTTCAGTGAGGGGAAGCATGTGCCTTGAGAGGTAATCTGCTGCATTATGTTTACCGGGGCAGTACTTTAGCTGGTAGTCAAATTGTTGCAGGTAGAGCAGCCGGCGTTCAATTCTCATGGGTGTGCTGCTGTGCGGATTATTGAAGAGCGGAATCAGGGGCTGGTGGTGAGTTTCAACGACGAATGAACTTCCGATCAGGTACTTGTAGCAGCGTTCGCAAGCCCAACGGATGGCAAGGACTTCGCGGTCGATCTGGGGGTACCGTTTTTCAACTTCTGTCAGGCTACGGCTAGCACACTCAACGGCTTTCCATCCTTGGGGTTTCTTCTGCATGAGAACCAACCATAGGCCATTGGGTCCGGCGTCTACCAGAAGCTTCGTATCCTGATCGGTTTCATAGTATCCTAAGACAGTGTCACTTGATAGTGTGGCCTTGAGTTTTTCGAATGCTGCCTGCTCGGTTTGCGACCATTGCCATTTAGCTCCTTGATGGGTGAGGTCGCGCAGGAGTGTGGTCATCTCCGCGAAGTTGAATCCCTCGAGAGCGTCATCAGCCGAGCTGCAAAATGAATACGAGCACATCGTCGCCAAGCTCGACAACCATTTCATTCAATTCCCATGGTCAACCCCGACTGTGTCCGTAGCAAGTTGGAGAAAATGTGTCAAAAAGAAGGTGAATTAGTGGCGCAGTATCGTGTGCGATTACGGCTTCAAGTAGCCAAGTGTGGGCTCACGGACCTGGATGACGTGATTCGAAGCAAAATCCTGCAGACTATGCGCGACAAGAAACTCCGCCGGGAAGCAATGGTGAAAAGATATACATTCCAACAGTTACTGGAGCACGCGGCGAACAAAGAAGATAACGATCGCTAAGCTCAGGATATGGAGCAAAAGCTTGCACCAGTTCAAGAGCGAGTTAACAGAATTCACCCAAAGAAAACCCGGACACCAAAGGATAAACGCAAACCCAAGCCACCGCAAGACGAAAAAAAAAGGAAAGGCATGCCAATTCTGTGGTATAGACCACAAAGGGCCAAGATCAAACTGCCCC